CATCCCAGGATGGATCATCCCATCCCAGGAACCTGGCACAGGAAACTTGGATCACATCTGGATCATCCCATCCCTGACCTGCTGCAGCCACAGCTTGGCCACCTCAAACCTCCATGAGCTGAATCCCACTGCTCTGTGTCCCGGGAAAGGGAGGGGACAAGGCCTGAGGTCTCCATGGACAGGAGAGGGATGAGGTGCCTCTTCCAGAAGCGACAACTTCTTCCAGTATGGAATTTTTTATTAGGAAAAGATCCACTAACAACAAACTTCATCAACTAAAAAACACTCAGAGGAGGAGTGGAACACTCCAGGGGGTTGGGAAATTTTGGGAAGCAAGGCAAATCCCACGCCAAACTCAGCTGGATGCAGAGCAGCCAACGGGTCCTGAACCAACAGCCCCTTCCCACGGGAATTCTGGGTGAGCCCATGGATGTTCCCGGCTCTGCAGGGAGAGCTCGTGGTGTCTGCACAGGAACAGGAGCCCCAATCCCTTGGGAAAAGGTCCTGCCTCTCCAAGGGCCACGTGGGCATCTCCCTCCTTTCCCAGCAAGAGGACAGTGAGTCTGGATTGACCTTGACTGGAGTTTTTCTCACTTTTCCCTGCTCCGAGTCCCGGCAGGTGAGTTCCAGCCCAGGTGGGCGTGTCCCGCTCCCCTTGATCCCGGGAAGTTTGCCAGGAATGTTCCTCAGCGGCCAGCCGGGCTCCTGGGATCTGCCCCTCCCCTCCAGGCACGGCAGGATTTGGGAACTCCTGGGAAAGGGCCGAGTGTGTCCCGGGGGTCACCCCGAGGGAACGGGGCGGGAGCTGGAGCCGGGGCCGAGGCTGCCGACGGATCCCTCAGTCGGAGTCGGATCCCTCCTGCTTCGCTGATCCCACGGCAGATGCCAACTCCTCCTCCTGCCCCTTCAGCCTCTCTCCTGCAGGGATCAGGATGCACTGCTGGGAACGGGAAGTGACCCCGGGGAGGGGCTGCCCCGCTCCCCCAGCCCACAGACCCTTCCCTGGGCCAATCCAAGTGCCCCCGGAGCTCCTGGGAAGCTTCCCAGACCCTTCTGGGAAGGGGCCAAGCTCCCCCCGTTCCCCCCTGGCCCCGAGCTCCCAGCAGGAATGAGGGGATCCCCGGGGAATGGCACGCACGGATCAGCTCCGCGATGGCTCTCTGGGTCCTCTTCTCCAGCTTCTCCAGCTTCTTGGACACATCCCGCTTCAAATCCCTGTGGGAGAGAGGGGCCACGTCGGGACAATCCCGTGCCCAGGCAGGAGGGGACACAGGGGCCACAGGACACCTTTCCCAGAGGGAGAGAAGTCCCTCCTCTTTCCCGGGGGCAGCACGGAGCAGGACGTGAGTCCCACCAGCTCCCGGGAAAACCAAGCCCATCCCGTGGGGACAAACATCCCAAAGGGATCAGTGGGAAAAGGGAACACTGGTGGCTTCCTCAGCAGTTTCCAATTTCATAGAATTCCAGAATGGTTTGGGATGGAAGGGACCTTAAAGGTCATCTCATTCCAACACCTCTGGATCAGCCCTGGATCAGCCCATCCCAGGAACCTGGCACAGGGAACCTGGATCACTCCATTCCAGGAACCTGGCACAGGGAACCTGGATCAGCTCATCCCAGGATCCTGGCACAGGGAACCCGGATCAGCCCTGGATCAGCCTATCCCAGGATCCTGGCACCTGGATCACCCTTGGATCAGCCCATCCCAGAAACCTGGCACAGGGAACTTGGATCAGCCCTGGATCAGCCCATCCCAGGATCCTGGAACAGGGAACCTGGATCATCCCATCCCAGGAATCTGGCACCTGGATCACCCCTGGATCAGCCCATCCCAGAAACCTGACACAGGGAACCTGGATCACCTCTGGATCAGCCAATCTCAGGATCCTGGCACAGGGAACCTGGATCAGCCTTGGATCAGCTCATCCCATGATCCTAGCACCTGGATCAGCCCTGGATCAGCCCATCCCAGGATCCTGGCACAGGGAACCTGGATCACTCCATTCCAGGATCCTGGCACAGGGAACCTGGATCAGCCTTGGATCAGCCCATCCCAGGATCCTGGCACAGGGAACCTGGATCACTCCATTCCAGGATCCTGGCACAGGGAACCTGGATCAGCCTTGGATCAGCCCATCCCAGGATCCTGGCACAGGGAACCTGGATCACTCCATTCCAGGATCCT